GGAAGATCTTGCCATGGGGAAGCTCTCAGCTGATTGGGCACAAAGACTTCCGACAGGTGTTTAGGATCACACCTGGCTGACTTTGTCGCGTGCTAATCGGAATCTTTTAGAGGCAGATCCTACTAACCTGCATAAGTTTGTAACTATAAATGGTGGGTTCATCCTTTCACCCCGAAAACCAAACAGCAGTCTTAACAATGAAAGCACCCTGGCTGACTCCCGCTAAAGAAGACAAAGACTGATACACGAGCTGGAAAGGTTTTTGGTTCGGTTTTCTGGGATGCTAATGGTATACCGATGGTAGATATCTGCAGAAGTAACAAACAACCAATGGCACATATTACGCAACACCTCCTAGCCAGTTAAGAGAATGAATGTTTAACTCAAGCGCCGCGTAAAAGTCAGTAAAGGTGTGTTGTTACCTCAGGACATTGCCCTGTTTACAAGTCTGCCATTGCCCTGGCTGCCATTGACGATGTTGGCTTTGGATTCGTAAAGCGTTCGCATTATTCGCCTGATCTCGCTCCATCAGACTTTAATATATTTCATAATTTTAAAAGACCATTTCTAGCGAACAAATAATATTTGATCGTCAAGCGTCCCTCATATCAAAGTCTTTATTATCATTTATTATTCCAAGTATACATTGTATAATATTATTATTTTTTGTTAACAGCAATAACATTATACATCCATCATCATCATATTCATCAACACCATCACCATTCAGCACACACGGAAATTGTGTAAAACCTCAAAATAACATCAAAATGGTAACAACAAAGGAATAATTTCTAAATCTGATCAAGTGTTACGTTATGAGATATCAAAACCAATTCCAAACTTTAAAGTTTCATTGTTCTTCCGCCGTAATTAATATCTCAAACTAATAAATTCGTTACTAGTTTAAGTTACATAATACTGCTATTAAATTAACATACTAACTACCAATGATCTATATTTCGGTTTGAAGACGAATTAGATTTGTACATGACGACAATATGACATTCAAAATTAATTCACTGTAAAAGAAACTGATAGATATTGACCTACATCCTTTATGCAAAGAACATGACCATGAAACTAGCATTATGGACTTGTATTACGAAAATATTCGGATTGACAATAAGTTAACAAGCATTGTCTTCACTTAAATCTTACATTATATATACTTGTATTTATTGGTAAATATCAAGCATCAATTTTGTAGAACTGTCAACCAAAATATAATTAACGGCAAATTATATACAAAGAAGAAGAAAAGTGATCATATGAGTACCAACGAGTACAGTGTACAAATGAAAGGATATGTAACGCATACAATATGGTGAGACACAAATAAGCAGATTGCATAAAAGAAGTGGCAGCTCTCAGGGAGTCATGTGGATGAAATTGATAGGAAACTAAGATATGTTAGGCAACCGTGTTAAATATGGAGGAGATAACAAAGTGAAAGCTAAGCAAAATTGCATAATGAAATCTCGGAAGAGGGGAGAGGAACGGAAACTGCGATTGAGAAATTTATAACAGGTAGCGTTCACAGATTCTTAGAGAAGCGGCTAGACAAGTAAACAGATCGAGGAGGTAGCGATTCACGGAACAAATCGTCATCTACACCAACTTCTCCAAAGAGAAAATAAAAAATGCAACGCACGTTTGTAGAAAGTTACTGTAAAGAACACTTGAAAGATATGTTTATGTACGATATTAATACAAATTAGATGTTTGAATTATGAGCTACGAACGAATATCTTCCTATCTTGTACTCCAAATGCAATATGTTTTTCTTTTATTTTTGAGAAATAAATCTATCTGAAGCTGAAATAAATTCCGATGCTGCACCTGTAGGGACGTACATTATTAGTTTATCACACAAATATATTCATATGTATAACACCGAATGAGAGTTTCACATCTGATGTAGTCATACACTGCAAAACATCGATGGAAACGGCAAATAATGAACACAACATATTTACAAAAAAAAAAAAAAACAAAACAAAAACAAAAAAAAAAAAAAAAAAAAACAAAAAAAAAAAAAAACACGGATGAAATAAAAAAAAGATATTAAAAAAAGGCTGCAAATACGCATCATATTATACATATCAAATGTATGATATACATTAGTATTTGAAATCTGAGAAAAAAGCAATAAATGAATGTTTGCGAATAGTTTATGTTAAAATCATATCGTGTACTTCTTTGTGGATCTGAATTAAAGGGTTTAATAAATAGTGTACCCTTTTAAGGTAACATTATACAAAAACGTTATTAGGCTATGTTAAATTCATTTAAATGACACTTCTTTTTATTATAACAAAGGTTTTTTCGCATTAGAGTTGAAACAGAAAGCAGATAGGTTTGCGATACACTATAATGAAATTGACATTCCTTTTTTCTATAGGAAATCATAAACACTGCAGAAGAAAGGGGTTTCGAAGAAATTGCCGATGTTCTCAAAAGATACCAAGACCGCAAGGTAACTGTAGCCTCTCGTTTTCCAAGTTTTTTTCAAATCATGTCACAAGATCACATACTTTGATGTTGTGTATAAAAAATTGCCTATTCTCAGCTTCGTCTATTTAAATGAACATGTAATTGATTTGGATATGACTATCTAGAAACGGAAATTGACATTAGGGGACATAAAGCCACCACAGCTTCAATGTTAGATGCAACTTTTTTTTTATGATTTAGCAATTATCGGTTAGGTTAGTGATGGTTGAAGACCTTATGGTGTTGCTGTTTAAAAGTTTGTTATGTCTACACATACAATTCAAAGACTTTGTAACATTTACTAAATAGCACAGAAAAATTCCAGAAAGATTACAACAAAGACACATATTCAGTCTAGACATCATATCGACTGTATGTGTCGTCTTGAATTTATTGGGCGTGTCACATGTTTCAATAATGAAGTCGTCGGAAAAGCGTACGAGAAATGTTATCAGCGGATACTGATTGTGTTTGTTATATTTCTAGTATGCATTCTAAGAAAATCATGACAGAAATATAAGGTGACAATAACCCAAAACTTCTAAAGACATTACCAATATTCGGCACTTGACTATGTAAGATATAGGACGATAATCAAGGTGTTGCCTTGCAATCACAATGTACATTGACATGTTTACTTGATATTGCGACAAAACAAACAAGGTAACTAATATTTATTCACGTATTCTCTTGTTTCCAAGCCGTTTCAAATCATGTCATTAGATCATATACTCTGACAGTTGTGTATAAAAATATGAACGGCGATAATTATCAGTTTCGATGTTTAAATGAATTTGTAATGAGTTGGATGTGACTATCTGGAAACAGAAACTGACATCAGGGGACATAAACTCATCACAGCTTTAAGGTTTGAGGTGACTCTTTCTGATAAAGTAATTATTGGGCCAGGTTAGTGACGTTAAAGACCTAAGAGCGTCCCTGTTTTAAAATTTTGATGAAATATACGATCAACATGATTTACAAGTTATTTCTAGTCACTGCCTCTTATATATTACTTAAATCGGTAGTAGACAAAAAAATCGTTGCACCAATTGCGATATATTTCTTCATTTGTATTAGGTGTTAGAGGGCCAAGACACCGCGGCATCGACGTCAGACATTTCGGAAGAACCAGATAAGGGGAGTGATAAAGCAGGTAATATTTATCTAAAAATTATGTTGAATACATGTACATATGTTCCACATGAGGCATGAATCATTTCTGGAATCAAAAAAGATATATATATATATATATATATATACAAATAAGATCATTAAGGGAACAATCTGAATGATGTAAAATATAATGCAAAATCATGCATAGGTATATAATTGCTCGTGTTAAGTATAGCATATCTATGATTTCACTCGTCCAGTTAGGGGAAAACCCTTCTGTGTTTCGACATTGATGGCGATGTACCCTTAAGATACTGTTGTAAATTGAATAAAACAATATTTGCGACCAATTTTAAAACACAATTTGGTTATTCACTTTTCTAATTCCTGCAGTCGTTTCTGACGTAACACTCATGGCGTGTTCGAGATCAATCGCAATCATTAACGTCATTAACGATGACATTGGATGTCAGATTTCTAGTTACATCTTAGATGGATTAGAATATAAATATGCCATCATTTTAGTGAATCATATAATATTAAATGAGAAACCATTAGTTATCCCCAATTTTTCGTTTGAAAAAATAAATAGAATAATTTATGTTTATTACACTTTGTGTTCAAATTTTGTGGTATTACTGGTCAGAAGTTATATATATTTATGTATGTAGTCATCCGGAACATCATGGGATATCGAAGTCATTCTGACCTATAATTTAACCTTTGACACTGTCCATAGGAAAAGCTTGTTCTAACTATATCCCGTACCCTATTTCATGTGGAATTTCCATACCTGCAATACGAAATCATCTCGGGCAGAAGATGATTTGTATGAAGTAACACGGTCACTATTTTATTTAATGTAGAATCATCAAACGTGTTATATACATTTTGTATAAACATCTTTCTAGGTTTTGTGTATATGAACAAAATCACTGTTGCCTGTATTTCCACATTTAACCAACTCAAAGATAAATAATGAATTCAGCATATATCCGGTTCTGTTGCATATTGTATTACCATTTCATCGCAGGTAGAAATCTGTAATATGTAATATGACCTTCGACACTTATCAAGAAAACCCGTTCTCTCATTATGTCTCTTACCTTACTCTATTGCATGTAGAATGATCACATTTGATGAAGATGGAAATCTTGAGCTGTAATGATGTCTTGGAAGATGATAAGGTCACAGTGATCGCGCAAATTTTACAACTAGTCTGTCAGGTTATCCATACAATACTTGAGCTCATCACTCAATATTCCTATCAAACTCTTTTCGAAGTTGGCGCCTGATCCCTTTGAGATACCTTGTTGCCTCTAGGTACAGTAATGTATGTTCAATGTACAACTGCATTATAGAACCTTCTTGTTATTTCAGATGATGAACTGGTCCTTAAAATTGTACAGCAACAGAATATCGAGGATTTTAAAACTTTAGAAAAGAAACTACACACATCGGGAACAAAGTATATTTGTTCACATACCTTACCTCACATCGTTGCTGCATATGGATCAACAGAAATGGTAGGATGTATGAAGACTTGGGACCGAATCGAGTGGGACGAGGAATGTGAAATCTCCGAACACATATTTGGGAAAGCACTGAAAGAAGTTACCAGAGCCACAGCATTGTATTTAGCAACCTTCATGGATAGAACAGACATGGTACGCTCGCTCATTAGTTGCGCAGGAGAAGACAACATCAAATGCTGTATTCGAAACTTAGACCTTAGTAATCGAATGGAAGAAATTTTCATGTTAGAACTAGCCGAAAAGTTAAAGATGAAACATGTTGATCTCACACCCGCCGTCATTCCAGGGCATAGTAGTGATGAGGAAGGCAAACGTACATGGACGTTTATTGTGTATTCAAAACAGGTCGTTAAAGCTTCTAGTTATAAACTTGATGATCTTGCTTTGGTAAAGATTCGAAATCCATACATCTATACAAAAGAGGTGGATTGCAGTACAGTCAAGCAAAACACAATTTCGGCTGAAGATGCAAAACGGGCTGAAAAGGCTCTATCAATTCACAGGGAGATGCTCTGGAGGAACCACAGCAACTTGAATATCATCGGCGTCAGTCCGTTTATTTACCGGGAAAACGGAGACGTTATAGAAAAACCTTGCATAGCTCTTTACTGTAGTACAAAGGGCATAGTGCCACTTGGAGACCCCGTGTTCCCAAAGAAGCTAGACATTGGAGAAGGGGACTTTATTGATGTTGATGTGCACGAAGGTTTCTTCAGACGTGGAGCATACACAACAGAGCCGGCTAGTTGCTACCACCAAACACTCAAAATGGGCTGCAATATCGGGCGATCGACACCGGAGTATGATGCACAAGGGAACCCTCGTCAATTTATTGGTGGCACACATGGACCTTTTGTCAAATTCAATAACAAGATAGGGTTTCTCACTTGTGCACATGTGCTGTTTGATATTCCAGTCCAGACAATGAGTGTAGATTTCCAACACGACGGTACAAACCAAATAGAAATCGTACAGCCTTTCGTCGATTCGAGAATTCACAGCGGTTTAGCATGTGGACATGTTCAAAGAGCAATTTTCGATCCTCAAAGGAACCCAAGCATCGATGTCGGTGTTATTGAAATCACTGATTCAAATAGGATCCCATCAAGAGGGCAGTTCGCCAACGAAAAACATAGCAGCTACATAAATGCAGGTAAGTCTTACGCAAGGGGGGTGAAATACATAATTGTGAACAGAAATTAGACAAGACATTGTTTCATGCTTTGAAGGGAACATATCTAATTCTTTACGGAAACTTGTCCTTTAAAATGACCAGGATCATTTACACTGATTTCCCTTGATGACGATGTTATATTAATTAATCGTATTCAGATGACTCTGATTTTATTAACATTAATATTTATTTCCGACAACAGATACTGAATCATTATAAATATATATTGATACATTTGTCAGTGTTGAGCGAACATTAAAGGATTCATCAATAAATTTACTAAGTTAAGTATGTTGCAATGCATGGTGTTCGTTGAAAAAAATCAAATCGTTCAATTGAATCTTTCTTATGACAGTTCCTCTCAACTAGTAGCTCTAAACTATTTGACTCATAAATCAATCAAACATTTCCACCCATTGATTGTTATTTTGATGTTGCATTATAACAGGATTTGACGAACTACCCGAGTACAACAGTGGGTCTATCCAACGAGACTTAACTCATTTTGGTACTACGCACATTGTTTTCAAATTTGGCAGCGAGAGTGACATAACGAAAGGGACACTAGACGTGTGTGGGGTAGATGTAAGGCCATTGTCGATTATAATGGGCTTACCTAGATGTTCAGGTCAGGTCCAGATGAATGACCAATACCAAGTATTTGGAGCCAATCCAACAATGACGTTTTCTCAGCTTGGCGACTCGGGCTCTGCGGTGTTTATGAAAACAACTGGTACCGATCAATTGACATGTATAGGTATGGTTATCGGAAATGCGTACATGGGTGCCAACCCATTCCCAGCAACAGTTGTTACACCTATCGGTGCAATATTGGACGCTTTAGGTCAAGATTACTCCATAGCATCGTTTCCATAGAATCCAAAACCAAGGAAGGAGATTGAAATATTATTGAGGAGTCTTTTCCAAACGTTGATTCGTTTGGTCCAATATTCCAAATCAATCTGATCAAAGCCATGAGATACAGGTTTGCTTTGGGCCGCAAAATTCATATGTGGCTTCATTTCTGTAGAAACAATATTTTCAAAAAGATTTCAATACCATAGGTTCCACACATTGACCATTTTGCAACTAAGCCAATCGTTATTGGTTCTGCTTTTTTAATCGACAACAGTGTATTACGATATATGCTTATCATTGATCACGACGCAACTACTATTTTAATGATTCTTTTGAAAAAATTCTAGCATATATTTTATCTTCATTTCCGTATTTTGTGTTAATCTACATTTAGGATGGATTGACTGTACTCTATATCTTACTGTATCTGTAGTGAAAGTGACAATTATTTGTTTTAAAGTCTTTCATGTAGAAATATTGTTGTATATCTTGCATCTCTAATATGTATATGACATGTTAAACGTTTTGTTAAATTCTTTTATTTTACCCGTTTTTTCCAATGTCAATATTACTTTGAATTTGGCCACATATATTATTAGCTCACCTGGTCCGAAGGTATAAATAATGATTATTGATTCTAGACAAGCCGTAACTCGCCCGGCACTGAGAGGTTGGACTTAATGGTAAACTTTAACAAGTTCTTTAAAATCCTGTTCCCCCTACAGGAATGAAAGGATATTATCCATATATGGTCTGAAGCATCCCCGAGTTAAAGGGAATCAGTCTTGTATAAACGATAGGTTTATGCGGAAGGTGTGAGGCCTAAATAGAGAAATAGAACAATTTAAAAGAAATCTCCTTTAGGAATGGATGAATTTGCCTCAATTTGATCAAGTATTCATGTGTGAAGGAGGGGGTCGATTTTGTATTAACGGTAGATTACGTCCTCCTTGCGTGGGAAGGGCGCAGGCCTCATAGGGGAAATAACGCATCTTCTGTAGGAATATTGGAATTCTGTTCCAATTTGGTCTTGGAGAGTAGGACTTAACTATATACAAATAGTGAATCTGATTTCCTTTTGGCCACAAGGCCATAATGCAACATGGAAATTATTTCAGAAATTGTTTGTCATATTTGAAATGTTTTGTTAGATGACAGAATAGCCGAATCAGTCAGCTGAGAATGAAGGCCCCTTGGGTCTCTTGTTATAATATTAATATATTGCGGGGCTAGCGTACTTCCCCCTATCTAGAATCAGTCAGTTGAGAAATGAAGGCCCCTTGGGCCTTTTGTTATAATATTGATATATTGCGAGGCTATCGCACTTCCCTATCTAGATTTCGTCTTCCAAGTATCAAAGTTAAGACCATTAGAATCAGCTGTATGATGCAGTTGGCTCTACTGAAAAGTGAAAAACATTTTCATAACAATTGCTGTCGATCTTTTCTGTTTTTTCTTTCGTCGCTATGTCAAATTTAGGCCATTAATATCATCGAGTGGTATTATTAGGACGAAACAACTGTATGATGCAGTGCTATTCTCTATTCCATTCATCATTTTGTTTGCTTTTAAATATGTTACTTGTTGGATTTTTGTAACCTTTATGATTTTTTTTTAAATCATACCAATGATATACGATACAGCTGTTGATGAATCAACAATATTGATTGAAGTGGAAATTTTAATGTAATGTATCTATTTTTAAACTCTTTCTTCATTATCTATTATTACAGTTTGTATTTACAATTTATAATTTACCTTTTCGTACAATCACACGTATCAGTTTCACGATAAATGAAAAATTCCTTTTGATGCTATTGGTGTATGTCAGTGTTTTAATTAAACCCTTTAATTTCAGAATCCGATTAAAACGATCAAACCTTTCTAAAGTGATGTTAAGATTCTATTGGTCAGGTGTTATTATTTTTAGGTGCATTTTGAAATATCTTAGCTATAAAATGGCCACTAACAAAAACCGATTTTTGAACGTTTGTCTCCTATTCTGCTGGTACCTTTAAGCTGAAATCATGTGGGCATAATTCGAAACTGAATTGAAGAAAGGGTAGTTGCTTTTGTTCTATTACTAAAATTCAGCTTAGTTTGAATATTTCATTTATTGTTAATACCACACTTACTGTTATGTTTTCATTGATAGGATTTCAAAGTCAGATGACTGTTAAGGCCCACGGGTCTCTCGTAATTATTTTACTGTTTAAAAACCAGTTATTGATCAGGAACATGTTTTTTAGATTTGCCAACCATACTCGCTTTTTTCAAATACCTACTTTTTTATTCCATAAACAACGAAACAAACATGTTTTTATAATATTACTTACTTATTATATATCTGTGTTGTAATATTTGATGTCATTAACATGCGTTAATGTTGATATATCAATTAATTGATACTTATTATTGATTCGAATGTAAAATTTTCATATCACGTTTGAAGTAATGTTCACGGTCTAATTTTAATGATTATTTTATATTATCTGTATTTTCAATATAGTTCTGTTACCTTGGCAGAACTAAGCTGATTGGTGATAACATGAAAATGATGTTACCTGTTTATTTAATTAATAATAAGATAATATTAACATGTACAGATAATAGATTGTACCTGGACACGTTAATATACACTTTTGTCCCAGAGTTTCATTACTTTCCAGGGAAAAAGCTCCCCTCTGTTAAGTATCTTACGTACAATTGTACACCTGTAGGCAATTTATGTTGTCCCTTGCCTTTGTTACTTGTCAGATGTGGATACCCCTCTGGTACGTCACTACAGTACAACTGTTATGATACATCTGTAAGCGATTTATGTTGTCCCATGGCTTTGTTAGTTTTACAGATGTGGAGTTCCCCTGTGGTACGTCACTACAGTATAATAGTTATGATACATCTGTAAGCGATTTATGTTGTCCCATGGCTTTGTTAGTTTTTTACAGATGTGGAGTTCCCCTGTGGTACGTCACTACAGTATAATTGTTATGATACATCTGTAAGCGATTTATGTTGTCCCATGACTTTGTTAGTTTTTTACAGATGTGGAGCTCCCCTGTGGTACGTCACTACAGTACAATTGTTATGATACATCTGTAAGCGATTTATGTTGTCCCATGGCTTTGTTAGTTTTACAGATGTGGAGCTCCCCTGTGGTACGTCACTACAGTACAATTGTTATGATACATCTGTAAGCGATTTAGGTTGTCCCATGGCTTTGCTAGTTTTACAGATGTGGAGCTCCCCTGTGGTACGTCACTACAGTACAATTGTTATGATACATCTGTAAGCGATTTGATTATTCCCGGGGGTCTGATACTGAAGCTTCGGGATAAAATCAACAATACTTATAAAACACACAAAAGGAAACAAACAATAAATGACAGTTTTACATTAATATTGTATTTTTTATTTCATTACAAACAATAAATGACATTTCTACATTAATATTGTATTTTTTATTTCATTACAAACAATAAATGACATTTTTACATTAATATTGTATTTTATATTTCATTACAAACAATAAATGACATTTTTACATTAATATTGTATTTTTTATTTCATTACAAACAATAAATGACATTTTTACATTAATATTGTATTTTTTATTTCATAACCTGTTATGAAATATTTTTAACATTATTTGGGTTTTATTCATTTATTAGTATGCAGTTACTGTAGCAGTGGAGGTAAGTCTTGTACAATTTTTGAAAAAACGATTGGCCACAGTAGTTTTAGAATGCAAATTGCTCTTGTAGTAGTGTACTTCGTTAGTGTATTTTCATCAACGAATATGTATATTAACTCACATATTCTTGTTTTATTTTTATGCATTGTAT